TTTTTTTTTGTGCAGGGTCTCACTACACAGCTCAAACTCATAGTGATCCTCTTGTTTTCAGCCTCCCCAGTGCTGGGATTGCAGGCATGCTCCAACCACCCTGGAATTAGTCTCCAGCTTAGTGGGCCCCGAGGCAGGGCTGGCATGGCATACAGTGCCAGGGATGGAACCCTGTCTCCTGTGATTACCTCGGCAGGTGCTTAGTCTACGGAGCTGTCTCGCCTGCCCTCTTGCTACTTTTGTTAAAGGATAATATTGCAATTTTACATCTGGCCTCTAAATGTGCTCATTGAATCTTGACCCTCACAACTAGCAATGCAAATCTAACTTATACACCCAATTATAAACATTTTATGTGAAACCATCTCCATATACATTAAACTCAAGATGATTTTATACTGCTGTCTCCCATCAGTGGGTTCTGTAGTGCTAAGACCAACTGCATGCCTTACTCTACCTGTTGAGTTGACAGTGCAAGTCAGTTAACCTCACAGGATGTCACCATCCTTATCAGTAAGACAGGAAAGAAACAGCTCACTTGACCTCCTTCTAGGAGCAGCATAAGGACCGCATGAAGCCAAGAAAAGGAGCTGTATGGCTCCATGTACAGAAAGCGTGGCCATAAGAAGTGGAAACAAAACAAGCTAGTGCACAGGAGACCACTCCAGGACCAATTCTGGAGTTTGCAGCATATTTCTATCTTGGAGGATGAGAGGCAATGCTGTGGATCAAACTCAGACCCTTATGAATGTCAGGCCAGTTCTCTGTCACTGAGCTATACTGCTGGCCCAAGGATAAAACTTTCTATGTGAATTTTCAGGGTTTCATCTTGTAGTTTTCAGACTTGTTTTAATTTCTGTCTCTACCACTGTGTAACTACAAGCAGGTCACTTACCCAGAATTTCAGTTTCCACATTGGAAAATTGTTTGTGAAGGTAAAAATAAACAGACTAAGCTCTAGTTCAGTAGCTGAACAAACGTCCCTCTTCCTGGTTCCTATTAGTCTGTATTTACTTGGGCAACAGAACTGCTTTTCTTTCCTCCTTTGTATCATCATGTGCCACCCAGAACTACCTCGTCCTGAGTGTCAGCGCCTGTCACTCTGACCTGGAATGATCTCTCAAGCCGTTGACTGCCAGCACCCTCCTGGAGTCTGTGATGGCCCACTAAGCTCATTTCTCTACAGGGCTGCTAGGCCTCCAACTACTCTTATTTCCCACTGATATGACAGCACAGTTTTTACTCCTATTACTTTCACCTCCATAAAAAGGGATCCAATTCAAGCCACAGTAACAGCTTCTGATGCTAAGATCAAAAGCACTCAGTAGTGACTCTTCTAACATGATACTATCTATGTTGTCAACTTCTCTAGAGAAACCCATTATTAATGACTGCCAGTACCTGGCTGCTGTGGTGGGTGGAGAGGGGGAAGTGGCTGGAGCAGAAAGCCTGCCTTCAAGGGCACTGCTTCACCAGACAGTCTAAGAAGAAACCACAAACACCCTTTTAGCTATTGTGAGCCATCCAGGTGTCCAGGACAAGTTTTCTACTAAAACAACTACTGCCCTGACTCTGGAGCCTCTCTTTCTTTGAACTACCAAACTTCACAAGGGCTTGCTCAGGCTCATCCAGGTTCATGTCTGCATGCACATGTAGGCATGTGGATATATGTGCATGTATGTTTCCCACTCTCTAGGAACATAGAAGTTTTTAGACATCATAATAAATGGATTCAGAAATACACACTTTCCTTATTTTCAAAGGTTGGCAAAATGTTTTGTCCTACTTTTGGAAATGTGGCTAGGTTCCATTGGGGTTGAGAAGGGTAAGATATCACAGAAGTAAAGAACAGCCTTCCTTTCAATATGAATACTAGAAAGCTTTTATGTTCATGTTTCATCAGAAAACAGAAGATAATAAAAGAACTAGAAGTTCTCATAGGATCACTGAGGTAGAAGACTGATACCTTTCTTGTCTGTGAACTATACTAAGCCCCTGGCCAACATGGCTTTGGTCCACCGATACTGGAGAGTCATCTGGATGGGTCTGGAAACAGAACAGCCTAGGATTTCACCTCTGAAATCTTGGTTCCTCTACTCTAGGACCCCAAGCAACTCACTTTCTTATGTCCCAAGCCTCAAAAGGTGTTTTTGTAAAAATTATTGACTTCCTACATCTAAAGTGCTTAACAAAACACCTGGTTTTAAATGTTAGCTATTATTAAAATTCACTTATTAGTATTTTTGTCATTTTAAAATAAAATTATAAAATAGCAGGATATTTGTTGAGCTCACTATTATGATTTATTCTATTCCTGGAAACTCCCACACAGCCCAGTTGGTGAGGCAGCTTCTCTGTTTACCACCCTTCTACAGCCCTGGGCCTGGCAAGCCTAAAACCCCTGGGAACCCGGATGATTTGGGCCTACAAGGAGTAGGTGTTTCCACAAGATGGCACAGTTGAAAAACTCATACTTGTTCTTTGTTTTCATTTTCTGTCTTAGCAAAACATTTGTGATTTTTAAGTGTAGCAGAACAAACAGAACCGTGACTTGTGTCTCAATTTAGACGTTTGATTTCATGCTCTTTTGAAAATTATTCCACATTTTCTACAATCACAGTTTTTTCTCCCACAGAGAAACTCTCTTCCTGCTTATGCCTGCATTCACTCTGCCGGCTCCAAAACCAACCCACCTGATGTTTTATATACTATGTCTAATTCCAGGCATGAGTCCCTCTTATCAGCCTTCCTCCAGATCAAGATTTCTATGCCTCCCACCCCGCTTACCTCTGTGTTTGAGAGCTGGAACCAGGGCTGCTTCCCATAGGTGAAGATTTCCCAAAGGATCACCCCGAAGCTCCACACATCACTCTCTGTTGTGAATTTTCGGTACATGATGCTTTCAGGGGGCATCCAGCGGATGGGGAGCATGGTGTGTCCTCCTACCTAAAAAGGGTCAAGACAGAGGCACAGAGTGACCACTTAGCCAGCATCAGACCTGCCATTCTGCACTCTTCCCACGAGACGCACTCTCCATGCATCTGATTCTGACGGCCACAACTGTATGCAACTTGTCATCTGAGGCTGAGCAAAGACACAGACATCCGCAGCTACAACACTAGAGACAGCTGAAATAGCAGTTACAGACAGCGACTGAGTGAGGGTAGATTCCCTGACCCTGAGTGTAAAGAAAGATCACCATGTGATCTCAAATGAGAGCAGATACAGTACTACAGTCAAATCCTAGAATTTCCCTTAAGGGGAAGTCCAAAAGGAAGTCAGGAGAATCACTGATGACCTCCAAGAATACCAGGCTTCAAGCCAAACTCATTGGCCAAGGTGGGAAAGGTTTAAGATTCCTGACAACCCTGATGATTCAGAATTTAGTATGTTAAAGAAGCATACAGGAAAACTGCAGGAGCATGGTTTCCACGTGCTACTAGCAGGAGGATAGGGTAAGAACTCCTGACAGGTTCAGTAAGATGTCAAAGATCAGTAAGGAGACAAATATTGCCCAAAGAGGACATCAGCCAGGTGTGGATATCCTGAAAGCCTAAGGCAAGAGATAGTGACTGACAAGGGCAAAACACAGGACATCTTTTCCTGAGGAAAACATTAAGGAGAACTTCATCACCCAGCAGGCTAGAGGTATTAATGTAAGTGGGAAAATTAACAGCACACTTTAAAACTCAGGAGCTAAAACTTTGAAACTGGATCATTGCTAAATAAAGCTTTAAAATTGAAAATTTTTGACTAATACATGGAGTGTTACAAAAGACCACATCTTTAATTAAAAGAAAGTTGTCTATAGATGTTCTTATAAACTATTAATATGAATTTTTCATTTGCATAGTGGACAAGTTGGAGGAAAAATAATAATGGGCATTTTAGAAAAAAAATGACTTGGGAAGTCTTGTTTCTAAAAATGGAAATTGCATTTTCCTCATCCACTTGAAGTATTTTAGAAGATAACTGATAATAATGAGTTTGTGGAAAGTTATTTTGAGCCTGAGATTTTATAATCAAGATAAATCTGTATCAAGCATAAAGAAAACAGAGGTATTTCTTTTGGACAAAGCAAAGACAGACATTTCACTACACACAGGCTTTCATAAATTAAAGAAGCAGAAATTGACTGATGAGGCATTCCAGAGAAACAGAAAAAAGGATCTAAGATACACAAAGACTTGGAAGATTACACACCATATAAAGCAAAAAGTCACAAAATCCTATTTAAATGTAAGTAATAGTTGCCAATTTGATAGTAAAAGGTAATACAACACTAATAAAAGGGGCCCGGGAGTTGGCTCAGTAGAATAAGCGCTTCTCTGGCAAGCGCAAGGGCCTGAGTTCAATCCCTAGTTCCGCCAAAAAAAAAACAAAACAAAACAAAACAACAACAAAACACTAATAAAGGCTTCCTGTAAAATGGAGCATAAAGTAAATAATAATACCCAATAATAATAATAGTACTAATACAACTACTATTAACATTTATCTGGAATGAAACTTTCCAGATAATTTCATTCCAGATAATTTAAACAATAAATGCATTGAAGAGTAGATGCACAAATACTCAACAAAATTGATAAAGGCTTTATTATTCATAAAGTAGGGAAAGGAGTTTACAGATATTGATCAATTGTTGATTACAACAGTTAAATTGTAAATATGCTTGCTAAAATTTTAAAGCAGCTTGGAGAAGGATAGAAATAGTAAATATAGATACCTAATTAGCTCTAGGAAAATACAACTTAAAAAATCTTTAGCCAATACAAAGAAGACTACCAAAAAAATAAGAATAATTATAATAAAGTACAAAATGAAAAAAGAAGTTTAAAAAATATAGAGTAAATGCAAATAAGTTATAATACCTCTTAAGGAAACTTTAGATAAAGAAGAATAAGATTCATGTTATTTTGAAGAGTTACATCTAAACAAAATTGTAAAAAAGAAAAGGATATAAAACTTTAAGTAATGAAATAAAAATGTAATTACCCATGTATATTCATATACATATATGCTCTTGCATAGAAGTACACATATACATACATTTGTGCTTATGAATATACAGGTGTTTATGGCCAGTTCTTTTACTGATTTTTACACAATTTATATTGTTTCACCAGTGTGTTTGTAAAAGGAACTCAGAAAGTCAAAAATGAAATAAAGTAATCTGTGTCACTTTTATATCACACTTAATATTATATTTGAAAATGGAAAAATTACCATTAAAATAATCAGGAAAACTTTTGCTCAATTACCACAGCAATGCCATATAAAATAAATATAAAGAATATATAAATTTGACACAGAAGCACATGTTTCTAATTGCAGTGCTCTGACTGGCTGACTGCGACAGAGGATCATAAGTTCATACCCAACATGGGCAACTTAATGACTTAGACCCTGCCTCAAAAAGTTACAGAGGGCCGGGGAGATGGCTCAGTGGAATAAGCGCTTCCCTGGCAAGTGCAAGGGTCTGAGTTCAATCTCCGGTTCCACAAAAAAAAAAAAAAAAAAAAAAAAAAGTTACAGAGGGCTGGGGATGTAGCTCCCAGTGAAAGTCCTGGGTTCCAGCCCCTTACACACACGTGCACACACGCACACACACAAACACACAGTATGAATGAAAGGCCACTGGCAAAGCTATCATTACAATGGAAAACTAAACCACTTTTCACAAATTAAAAGGTCAAGGTGATAATGTAAATTAAGATATATTTTTAAAACAAACAAAGTGATTTTCACAAAATAGAAGTATGCTGGGATTATAAGTCTACCAGATGGATTAAAAAGCTTTCAGGTGATAATTTTAAGTTACATAGAAAAGTTTTTAAAAGTCAATCACATATTCAACCTCAAAGGAAATCTGAAATTCTCAGAGAAAAAAATACATATAAAATAAAAATTAGAAATATTTTTGTATGAAAGAATGTAAAATAGAATTTAACAAGAAAGACATAACCTTTTAAAATGTTTCCTTTCAGCCACTGTTAAACTAGTTGATAAAGAAAACATGACAACAAATTTTACGTTATTTATTATAATACTAGCCAAAATTCTATTCACTGTATAATAGGGATATACCTAAAGTAAATCTTGAAAAAAATATATAAACACCAAAGTAATTGTTTTAAAAACCATTAAAATATAGCAAGGCTAAATAAAGCTTTTTTTAAAAAAAAGGTTATAGAGACCTAAAAGCAAAAGCAAAAATGAAAAAGAAATAAATTCTAAAGACAAAATTAAATAGATAGCTTGGAATGGAACAAGACAAAGCAAAACAAACACACAAGAGACAAAAAACAAACTTGATCTGTACAATCAATTGCTAGCTCTCCCAAAAGCCACATAAGCCCATGACAAAGTGGTGTGGGAGTAGAGGAGATAAATATAAAATGCAAATATATTTTGTAGTAAATTGATCACTGCGTCTATGTTTAAAAACAATAATTTTTAAACATAGACGCAGTGATCAATTTACTACAAAATAGTAATGAAAAGCAGAAAACCTGCATACAAAAACAATTCAAATTGTAGCACAAATAATTCATGCATTAGAAATACAAGGTCCAGATGGTTCTAAGAGTGAGCTCTACTAAAATCTCCTATCCTGCTTACATTTTTGCAAAACAAAAACAATATAGGAGCTTTCTCAAACTACTACCTTTGACTTAAATATCTCTGATAATACAGCACTTTAACTTATTGCCTGCACATATAGATACAGAAACAATTTAATCTATATACATGTAAAATTATCTGTTATGAATGCATTCTCCAAATCAAAGCAGTTTCAAATCAAAAATGTATCACAGGAATTCCATGTTATAATTCAATAATATTTGTAATATAAATTCAAGGAGGTCTCACTCTTAGCAAATATGTGGGCATATTTACTAAATTAAGATAGAAGAAGTCCTTTCAAAAATGTCTAAAATTTCCAATACTCTTTTCTGATGAAAATACTGAAGCCATTAATAATAGACAATAACATCTTTCACTTGATTTACTACATGTCAAAATAGCAGGTAAAACATTAGAAACAGGAAAGGTAACTTCTGCCACTGATTTTATGAAATACTGTTTAGAAGGTCCTAATCAATGCAATAAAATGAGAATTTTAAACTACAATAGAAATACATAAAAGGAAGCAATAAACTAAAAAGCAATTAAAACTGTAATATTAGCAAGTTACCCAGATAAAAGAGAAACACATAATAACCAAAATACTTATACCAATGCTGATGACTTCAGAATATGATGGGAAATAACACTGTGCAAAATCGTAATAAAACCATTTAAAACACCTAGACATAAACCTTAGCAGAAAACTACTTAAATAAAAGTGGTAAAATCATAAAATAAAATCAAAATAAATAGAAAGTTGTATCATTTCCTTGGATAAGAAAAATAGCATAAACCTCTCATTCCTCCCTCAAATTAATCTAAAAATTCAGTACAATTTAAATACAACCCCCAGTGGAATGTATATGGAGAATGACAAGATGAACCCAAAATTCATCTAAGGTAAATATCCAATAAAATCTTTTTGAAATAGAACAATGATGAAAATTTTACTCTATCTGCCAAACATTTTATCAAACTATACATTGAATACATTGTGTTTTGGCATAGGGATAGACAAATTTATTAATGAGACAAACTAGAGAATCTAGAGGTAGACCCAGGTATAAATATTGGAATTTAATAATATGAAATGATGGGTTAGTAATAAAATTGTTGGTAAAATGAACTATTCATTAAAAATACACTTAGATACCTACCTCACACCATATACAAAAATCATTTCCAGATGGATTAAAGAGCTAAACATAAAAACAAAACAATAATAATATTAGAGGAAAACTTACAAAAATATTTGTATAAACTCAGGAGTGAAAAGCCTTCCTACATAAACTATATGTTCAAGAAGCCATAAAGGATAACATTTAGAGATACAATTTATAAACACAAATACTTTTCATGGCAAAAGAAAAAAATAATCATAGATAAAAGACAATGACAGAAAATAACTTTAATATATGTAACAGACAATGAATTAAAATACATATGGCAAAGTAGTTCTTCAAATCAGTTAGAGAAAGCAACCCAACAGAAAGACGAATGAAGGGTTAAGAGCGTATGACCCACAAGATAGCTACCAACAGCCACAAAGATATGAAGAAATACCAAATAAAACAACAGGCACACATTTAATGTTGTTTGAGAAAAGCTGGAAAGGATAGATGTTATCTGGTGTCTGAGAGGGTGATGAAGATTCAGTTGCCTGTACCACTCGTGAGGTTGATCAATTTTAGGGCAGATACTTTGTAAAATCTGTCTACACTAAAGACACAAGTGACTTCAAGTCCAGCAATTGCATGTCAAGGGGCTTACACAAATATTTGCTTATGTATGCAAAAATGTCTGGATAAAGTCTATAATTTGATTGCTCCAAAGTCTGAAAATGTATTTGTTCATCATTATAGATGTAACCAGTAGTTAACAAGGAATAAAGTAAAGCTATGTGTATAGAATCATAAATATGTCTAGTGTATACTAAAGTATAAGTCCTTGAAAACATACTTTATTATTCTAATTCATGTAAAAATGGGTATGTGGATATATTAGTATCACCCTAAAAGATATGTTAGAGACCATATAAGCGCCTAAAATATTTACTACCTGGTCCCTTGTGGAGACAGTTTGATAAACTCTGAACAAAGGAATTCACAGATTGAAAGACATTTTTTTTTCCAGAACCAGGGATTGAACTCAGGCCTTTGTGCTTGCCGGGGAAGCACTATTCTACTGAGCCATCTCCCCAGCCCAGAAGACATTTTTAATTGACAAAGATAGTGACTATTTTGTTTAATATGACCAAACTGCCACTAGTCCCTCAATACCAATTATCATTCAATGGTAACAGTTCTCCTAGGTTCTCAAGTGTTTTAAGAAAGTTTGGTCCAAGAGAAATCTATATATTGCATTTAGTAACGTGCCTTAGGTCTCAGTCTATAGGATTCCCCAGCTCCCTTGTAGTTCATTAGTCATTTGTTTTACAGAAATTTTCATGTTCTAGTTTAACATATTTTATATTGATAGGTTATGGTTGCCAGCCTACTACATTTTCTGTCATAATTAGTTCCTGATCAATTCCAACTTCTGCAACATGACAAGGGCAATGTATGTCAGTCTTTCGGTATGGGGAAATTTGAAACTGGTCAGTGGATTCCATATCACTCACCATTAAATCCGCTTTCACCGAATGATTTTGACAGTCACTGATGTTCATTGCCTAGGCCCATTATTTCATCAGTGATTGTAAAAGGGTGACATTCTAGTTATAGCTGTCCCTCAGTCCTCTGCATTTTTTGGCTGGAAATCTTTTATAAATAATAACTTCCCTTCACCAGTTACTGCTAATAGCTTAGTCAGAGAAAATGAAAGCCTGATATTTTCTCTTTACTCATTCCCTAAAATTCACACAGGTGGTCAATGTGAGTTTTGTTTTGTTTTGTTTTGTTTTTGAAAAGCATTATCAACATTTGCTCCTTGGTAAAACACACACACACACACACACACACACACACACACACACACACCCCACAAGTGTTTTGTTCTGTTGTATTTCTTACTTTTGCTGCCTGAGGCCCCATCTTTGGCTAATGATAAACTCTTTTTGTTTGTTTCTTCTCTTTAATTTGTTTATTTAATTTATTATTTTATTTTAGAGAAACAAATAGCAATGAGACAGTTTCAAAACTGATCAATAGGATAAACTCTTAAAAGCTAGTGCCTGCATCTTCTCACATAAGCTCATTCAGTAGCATCTTTGCTTTCTGATGTGAAAGGATATTCTAGGATCATCTTGTACACTTCCTGCCCCAGTCTTGGATCAAAAGATTTCTGGATTCTTTTGATGGACAACAGAATTCCAAGATCATCCTATGGCACCAAGGGGAGCTTTTTGCTCCTGGTGTAGGCATGATTTCTAGATCTTTATAGTATGAAACATACAGCTAGGAAAATATTTTTCTTAAGATAACGTATGATGTAAAGTAGTGTAGGTTTTTACTACATTTGAAGTTAGGATTGCAGAGTTTTTATTTAACTTGTTCAACTTTTATATTTCTACTTGTGTCTCATGCTGAAAATACTGATTTCTACGATGTTTCATAGCTTTCCCCTCTGCAGTGCTGGGATTGAACCAAAGATCTCATTCATACCAGGCAAGTGCTCCACCACTGACCCACACACCCCACTCCCCGCTTTATTTCAGTCATCTGAAATTTTCTTTCTGTATACAGAAGCACGACCAACTTACTACAGAATTAGTCTTTTCTTCCCTGTTACTTTCTTTTTATTCTTAGGAATTGTTTTGTTTTTCATTTTCTGTTTGCTTTACGATGCCTACAAATCATGTAAGAATTGATACATGATTTCAAGGTTAAAAGAAGAAAACAAGCAACCTACCCTCTCATCCCTGCTCTCTCCATCCTAGTCTCATCCTCCACCTAAAAGAAACAGGTTTGGTTTGTTTCTATTACTCTTCCATTGCTTTATAATTTTTACTTTGCTTCATTTTGTTTCATTTTTGTGGGAATGATAATTTAACTCAAGACCTTTGCAGTGAGCTATATTTTGAGCCTTTTTTTTTTTTTTTTTTTTTTTTTTTTTTTTTTTTTGAGACAGGATCTCACTAAGTTACCAAGTTTTCCCAAACTGAAATGGCTCTTGAAATCTTCCTGCCCCAGCCACCCAGAGTGCTGGAGTTATAATGTGTTCCATGAGGCCCAGGTTCCTTTGCTGCTCTTTATACAAGCAAGTAGAGATTCTGAGTCGCTTATCTGTTCTACACTTTGCTTTCTTCACTGAAGTTTGCTTATTCCTTGCTAAGGACACAACTGCACATATAACAGCGCCATGATTTATCCAGTCAGCCCCATATTACTGGCCCTGGCATAGTTTCCTGTGCTTAGCTATTTTTGCTAGGGAAGGGCACCTCTCACATGTACCTCACATTATTCTTACAATCTCTAACACGGAAGACCCATTGCCCCATGGATGAGGCCTAGAGTTCCCAACTCTTGTAGCAGATAAGTCTTCAGAACTTTGGGGATATTAAAGGTCTTCTCAGCATGCACTTGAGCAAGGGTAGTCATGAGGGATATTGTAGAGCCTCAATTCCAGTATGGACTTCTATTTCTAGAAGTAAATTTAAAAAGCCCTGCGGCCTAGCAATAATCTTGCCCAATCTGATCATTAAGTGGCATGCCTACTTGACTTGAGTAAGGACTGCCTGGCAGATTAATGAATTCTGGGTGTGTCTGTGGATGTTTGGTCCATAGGGCTTAAACTCAAGAGGGCAGACCCAGCGGGATGTGGGTAGCAGAAACCAGCAAACTTGTAGTCTGGACAGAAGAAAAAGAGAAAGAGAGGGAGAAAAAAGGAAGACTTCCCTTTTCTTCAGGGGAGCTGCAGTCTTCATTGTTCTCTTCAGACCTTGTCTCTAATTCCTTCTGTCTTCCAACACAGACTCTTCAGCCTTCTGACACAAACTCACCATGTAACTCTGAAGTGGGATTCCAGGCCTTCGACCTTCGACCTTCAACTGCTGCTGGATCCTCCAGATCTCCAGCACACAGGCAGCCGTTTTAGATTCTTCCATCTCTGATCTGGTAGAAGCCCATTGCAATGCTTTTATTTTGCCTGCTCGAGTCTAGAAGTCTACCTCACGCATCGCTTGCACAATCATACACATAGTCTGTACCGCTAGAGAATCCTGACTGATACAGCCAATTGACCATGGACATAACACTTCCAGAAGAAAAGACCTACTTCTCACATACTAAACCTCAGGAATGAAAATTTACAAAGTACATAGGAAAATCCCCCATGAAATATTGCTATAGGTGTTGAAAATGAATGTCTCTAGTAACAGAAACAAATTCATTTGTAAGCTGAGTAGTCTCCAGTGTTTCTCAAACAAATGAATGATGGGCAAACCTAAAAGAATTATCAGCTAAAAGATTAAAAATAGTAATTAAGCAAATACCTACATAGTTCAAGATACTGAGTCACATTTTAGTAACAGGCCCTTCTTTTCCCATCTATTTTTTATTGTGAACATTTCTTGTTTTTTGCATCTATTAAGGTGAAAATAAGGAGAGAATTGATCCTGAAACTTTCTAATTTTAAAGATAAATAGTGCTTCATCCATTAATGAATATATGCAGTAGTTTAAAACTATGAGAATTTTTTCCATTAAAATTTAGCTTTTTTATCTTTCATATTCATCAAAAGTTTTAATATATATATACATATATATATATATATATATATATATATATATATACATTTTGATCAACTGCCAGCTTCTGTGTGCTAATAATGGTAATGATACTCAATTCTAAAACTCTTAACATTTTCAAACTTAGGGTCATTGGACATTAAAAATTAAATTTAAATCTCCATACATATTTTGGTCACAGTAGATTATGATAGAGTGGTCAGTAAAAGGCTTTCAAGCATAAAACTAAATTACATAATAATAAAATTCGATGGGGTAACTGGAATGAAAATGTAAATTCATGAAGAAAAAAGAGTCATGTAAAACTGACTGTTTAAGAACTTGTTCATGTGTTTAATAGATGCTGTACCAAATTGCTCTGGTATTTAAAGTTCATTAGATGCATTAAAGGAATGATGTATTTTCTTAATGCCAATGTTTATACTATTCTGGAAATGGCATCACTTGCAACTATTTAAAATTATGTTGAAGATTACAGATGGTACCTTAGATTGTGCAAGGGTCATGGATGGT